ACTTGAGCTCTGACTCCGCTCTGATCACATACTAATTTTCTTTCTAATTTGTATTGTTTTTCAAAGAATGTAAAGTTCTTAAGTGTATGCATGTTGTTTATTTTTGCACCGTGGAGTTTCTGAAGAGGTTATGCTAGATGCTTTGAAACTCCGTATCAGAAGAAACAACTTTATAACCTTTTTTTTTAAATAATGAAAAATATTTTCCTGACAAGTGAGATCTAAATACTCTTTATTGTAAAAGAGCTGTAAAGGTTTTGTATTCTAAATCCTAGTAAAATTGACAGTGCTTTTTAATTATAATGCATCTTCCTTTGTCTACTTAGTAAAAAATTTTATTTCATAATTTTGGCAAGCTCAATAATGGATCCAGAGTATCTTTGAGTTCTTGCAAGCTACAAGTTGTTTCCTTCCCAGAAGGCCTGATTTCAGTAGGAGTACCCTCTACTGAGTTCTCAATAGTTTATCTTAGAAATCCTTGGGTCATTCACAGGTATCCAACCAGCCATCATTTACTTTGTTTTTGAAAGGGTTTGATAATGCTTTTTAAGTTGTACAGAATGCTTAATCCGTCATATTACTGTCCTAAGCCATGTAAATACGCTTGCATTTTGTTGGGGAAATGTCTGGGAACCATACATCAGCATAACGTGTAATGCCCACTCTTTCACCCTGGAACAGAGATGGGCTTAATAGAGGTAGAGACTGGGGATATGCCTTTGTTTCACTAGCTTTTTAATTTAATTAATTAATTAATTTTTTGAGATGGAATTTCGCTCTTGTTACCCAGGTTGGAATGCAATGGCGCAATCTCAGCTCACCACAATCTCCACCTCCTGTGTTCAAGCCATTCTTCTGCCTCAGCCTCCCCAGTAGCTGGGATTACAGGCATGCGCCACCACGCCTGGCTAATTTTGTATTTTTAGTGCAGACAGGGTTTCACCGTGTTAATCTGGCTGGTCTCTAACTCTTGACCTTAGGTGAACCGCCCGCCTCAACCTCCCAAAGTGCTGGGATTACAGGCGTGAGCCACTGCACCTGGAAGCATTTTTTAAAAATTCAGTTAAGATCTTTGGGTTAGGGGAGAAAATTTATTTTACTGAACCAGTTCTGTAGAAATTTATTTTATTAGGAAATTTGTCTTTGGAACAAGGTGGCAGCTATAAAATTATTTTTGTTATCCTCAGAAATATGAGGAAGCCTGTGAAACTCTAGTGGGGAGATATTAACTTGAAGACTTAATACTCTGTAAATAGTCATTTAAACTGTTGGTTTTAGTGGTTTTGTTTCTAAAATGTTTTCGTTTACAGTGATGCATCAGTGTGAGATGGTGCTGACACTTTCTATGAAGTGGTTATGAGTAGGTTTAATCCTCTATACAAGTGTTTGAATCAATTTTAAAACTTAAAAAGTGGAAATTCCCTCTTTTGTAGACAGTAGGAACAAGGAATTGTATGCATTTTTACTAAGTAGTAATTTTACACTGAATTATAAAGTTTTTACAGTGAGTTTTATTAATAGAATGCTTCATCTTAAATTGGAAAACAATAATAGTCTTGGACTAAGTCTTTGTACTAAAGCATTTGCTCTAATTATTTTTTTAAAAACAAACAGGTGAAAGCCTCAAAGAAGGCCTGTGGATTGTGAGATTTGCCTAGTAAAAATTGTAGTTGAATATGTTTAAATACTTAATTTCTCACTTTTCAGGGGGGTTTATTTTTTTATTTTTTAGATGGAGTCTCACACTGTCACCCAGGCTGGAGTGCAATGGTTCCATCTTGGCTCACTGCAACCTCCTCCTCCTGGGTTCAAGCAGTTCTCCTGCCTCAGCCTCCCAAGTAGCTGGGGTTACAGGTGTGCGCCATCACACCCAGCTAATTTTTGTATTTTTAGTAGAGATGGGGTTTTGCCTTGTTGGGCAGGCTGGTCTTGAACTCCTGAACTCAATGGATCCACCTGTCTCAGTTTCCCAAAGTGGTGGGATCACAGGCATGAACCACCACACCTGGCCTTTGGGGTGTTTTTAATTACAGTATTAACTATAGTTCCAGGATTCCCCACATTTCATAGTAATAGTTTGCAGAATATTATATGCCCTAATTAGCAGATATACATATTATCAAATTATAATGATAGTATAATTATCCCTTTTTAGTATTAGGGGGAAAAAATGAAAATTCGTTAGTTAATTACTGCTTTGTGTTGTGTGAATTTATCAACAAATAGTATTATTATATATAGGCCATTGTTACCAAATGAGCATCCTGAAAACGTCTGTGAAAATTTAATTTTTTATATCCTGATTAATATATTGTGACTTTAGGCCCAATTTTCATGTGCTTCCCCTTGATAGAGGTTAATCCATAAAACTGCTCTCTACTTTAGCTTATCAAATGAAGTATTATTTGGGGGACTGGAGGCCAAAAAGTCAATGTGAACTTCTCACGGGTTTTTAAATCTCCACTAAAAATAATTATCCATTTGTCTTTACTATTGTTGACCAGAATAGTTGGTAACTCTGCCGGAGCCTGTACTTACCTGCCAAAAACAATTAAATCTGGTTAACACCTGAAACCAAATCTCTCAGACTCAAGTGTTATACTATCCAGTTTTTTTTTTTTTTTTTTTTTTGAGACGGAGTCTCACTCTGTTGCCAGGCTGGAGTGCAGTGGCGCGATCTTGGCGCACTGCAGCCTCCACCTCCTGGGTTCAAGCAATTCTCCTGCCTCAGCCTCCCAAGTAGCTGGGACTACAGGGGCATGCCACCATGTCCGGCTAATTTTTGTATTTTTTAGTAGAGACAGGGTTTCACCATGTTGGCCAGGATGGTCTCGATCTCTTGACCTGGTGATCTGCCTGCCTGGGCCTCCCAAAGTGCTGGGATTACAGGCATGAGCCACCGCACCTGGCCAACTATTCAAGTTTTAAATGGAAAGGCAAACTGGAGTAATGAAATTTTGGCTTTACTGTAACTTTTGCTATCAAAATAATATGCATGTTTGGAATCTTGTCTTTATTTGGAATTTAGCTACTGTCTGCATTTAACATTTGCTTTCCTAAAGAAAGTTAGTGATCCAGAGAGTTCAAAGGATGGGGGAAACAAAGGTGTCAAGTCACTTGCACTTTGTACCTGTAAGTTATGTAATAAATTATTATACTCCTACTTCTGTGCCTGAAGGGTTTGTGGTAGGTATACTGAGCTGTATAAGCTGTCCTGTTGCCTGTACTAAACTGTTTCATTGCCCTCTTCAGCCATTTTTACTTAGTGATGCTAAAAGATAAGTGAATTAAGATGTGTCAAAATAGAGTAATAGAGGAGTTTTAATATAGAGGCTGCAGATTGTGAAAGAAGGGTGAAAGAATCATAAATAGGTTCACTAGAATAAGTATATAATCAGAGGACCAAAAAACTCACACGATCTTACATATTTAGAAGCAAAACAATCCTTAAGTTTCCAAGGTGGTTTTATTCAAGTCCCATGCTGTGTTAGAAACATACAAGTGATGAGAAAAACATTAACTTGAAGCATGCAGTTATCTGGCATTTTCTAAAATACCATTATACAAGTTTTCATTTACTTAGAAAAATACCCACTAAAACAATCACAGTTCTTTTTAAAGATTTAAAAAAAATGTATTGGCCAGAACAAAGTCCAAGAGATAAACAAAGTTCTGAATTGTATGTCAAAAAAACTGTACAGGGTTGTACATAAAACTATAGCTTACAAAAGCCTCAGGTATAGTAAGAATTCTGAATTAAGATTTCCAAAGTTCTATTTACCAATATCTATTAATAAAATCCTTATGAAATAATTGACTTAGAAAAAGTGAAATGCTCATGATTTCAGAGTGTATAGAAAATACTAAATATCACTTTCTGAAATAAAGTGTACTCAAAACAGCACAACGTATAGTCTAAAATCAATATTTCTGTCATTCATTTAAACTTTGCATGTATTCCCAGGATGGCCTAAACATAAAATTTCACCTGCAGTAATAACTTTTTAAAAATGGTCTCAAATCACTTCACAGTTTTATATTTTGAATTCTAGCCAGTCTTAAAATCAGCTTTGGGATGGGGTGCATTAAACATGTTGGGTTTTTTTCCGCCTTAATTATTGCACTAGAATTTAGGGGTTTGGTGCCTTTCCCATATTTTTTAGAAATTAACATTCCATAGGCAATAAAAGTAGAATGACAACTAAGAACATTTTAAATGTACTTTCATGTTTGTGACTAAACCTTGCTTTGGGAAAATTGGTCTGAAAATCAAGGAATGTGTGTGGAAGAAATTAGCTTACCAATTGAACCATCAAGCCCGTTGGCAATTTTAAGGCTTCTATATCAGCATATTACAGAGTTTATATTCCTGTTATTTTCCTCCTTGTAGGAAACAAGCCATGCAACTGTTTGACGTTCTGTATTTTAGATGTAACAGTACTTAATACTTGGTAAAAATAAATTCCAACTTTTAGAACGGTTTCAGTGTTATAAGAGTTCTACTTATTAGATGTAATCAAATTTCAGATTGATAAACAGAAGGTACATGGCTAAAGCAGTATTGTTTTAGAATAAAATGAAATGATACACTATTTCAAACATCTGAATATATCTGGCCAAGAGGCCGCAAATGGGTTTGCTATGAGAAGATAAACGGACTTAAACTCTAATAATACTGTTCTTGAAGAGATTAAACTGAGAATTTTTAACCCTGTGCTGCTTTTTTTTTTTTTTTTTTTTTTTTTTTTGAGACGGGGTCTTGCTCTGTCACCAGGCTGGAGTGGTGCAGTGGCTCAGTCTCGGCTCACTGCAACCTCTGCCTCCTGGGTTCAAGGGATTCTTCCGCCTCAGCCTCCCGAGTAGCTGGGACCACAGGTGTGTGCCACCACACCCGGCTAATTTTTGTGTTTTTAGTAGAGACGGGGTTTCACCATGGCCAGGATGGTCTCAACTTCTTGACCTCGTGATCCGTCAACCTCGGCCTCCTAAAGTGCTGGGATTACAGGTGTGAGCCACGGCGCCCGGCCTGTGCTGCATTTTAATCAAATGGAGATGTATAGTTGGTCTTGTTCATCTGAAGGACATTAGACTTCTTTTTTTTTTAAGAAAACAGTACTTTTCATTAATAATACTGATTTTTAGGGTGAAGTAAGCTCTTGTGCACATAGCAGAAGGATAAAGTCCTTTTGTTTTCCATGTCACCGCAGAAGTCTTGTAAAGAATTGGTAAAGAATCTCAATAAGCAGATTTTTAACTCCCTTCTTATAAACACCTTCAGTCAAAGCCAGAGGCGATGCATTGAGACTGAAAACACATTTGTTGACTCCCAGACTTCACTTAAGTCGGCCATTTGGTCTCATGAGTTGGCATTGTTGCTAAGATAAAGCAAATGAAATTGAAGCTGTACTCTTGTTATTTATACCATACAAGACTATGCTATTAGGGCTGTCCTGTGTGGTCTGCATTCAGAGGTTACACTGTAACTACCATATGCAGGCCAGACCTTCATTCTGTGCTTAGGGACTGAATCACACTATAAGGTGTAACACTAGACCGGAAGACTTTTCCATTAAAAAAAAAAAGTTCTGCTTTTCTAATTCATTATATTTTCCAATATTTGTTCCTAAAATATCATGAAGTGGTACCTAAAAGCAAGGTACTGGAAGATCATCACATCACGTCACATTTGGTCTTAATATAAGACATCAGAACACATCTTTAACAACATTTGAGCCCTCCCTTAGTTTGATTCTTTGTGTCCTTCAGGAGAATCAAAGCCTGCCTCAGTTAAAAATCAGATGAAATGTGAACAGAAAGGTTATTTGGTTCTGAAGACCTGCTGATCACTCCTGGTCTCTTTGCCTGAGTGTGGTACTGTCAGAGGTAATCCAGTACTGCGAAATTTGTGTAATAGTGCATGACCTCTTGTGCTTTTTGCTAGGTGCTGCAAAGCTTAAATGTTAATGACAGAACATAGACTAGCTTCTCAATGTGATATTTTTGTTTCGTTTTGAAAAAACAAAAACATCAGTGAATGCGTTAAAAAAGATTAAGGAGGAAGTAACTCCAAGATCCTGAAAATGGTTCTTGTATTGCCAGAAGAATTTCAGTGCTTTTTAGTAAAACACTTGCATATAATACCTTAAATCTCATCATGTGTGTGCACCAGGAAAAATCTCCAAGCTTGTGGAGATCCCCATGGGATATACTGGGGAAAGAATACAAATAGAATATAAAAAAACAAAAACCACCGTTAAGTTTGCATATCTGATGTCAAAATGCTGAGGTAATATTAACTGCTTAAAAAAAACCCACCCATTTTTGCTTTCTGTTATTGCTGAAAAAGACAGTAATACTGTTTGAGTTACCTTACTATACCAAAAGTTCAAGAGATTATTTCATGAACATTTACTACTGGCGAGGCATAATGTTCAAAGCAAGTAAAAGAAAGTAGGTAAATGGAAAAATAGAAAACGACAGTTATGGTTGTTATCCTTAAGATCTTGAGTGAGGGACATAGTCCAACCCCAGTGGGGTTTATTACTTCAGCCTTTTCATGGTGCCTCTTAGTGAATTTTTTAAAGCTAATTGTTACCACCCACTCAGATCCTATTTCCAGGTGAATCCTTAAAAATAAAATTCACAAGTTCTTAATAAATAGTTGCAGTTCCTCCTGAAGATGCTGGGTAAAGTGCAGAGAAAAGCACCACAGAAACCCTCTTGCTGGCCGGTATGGCTTGGCTAAATTCGGATTTGATAGCCCACTTCGTTCAGAGTGCTCAGATCAGCCACCTTCTTTTCAGGCAGTGCAGGCCTAAGAGTCAAGACAAAAATATGGTGGAGAGGGGATGGGACAAAGAAAGGTAATTGAGCATTTTCAAGGGCCTCTACTGGTTTTTTACTAACACTTCTCATATCGGTCTCATCCTCCCATTCCCCCACCCTCCCGGCCGTACCTCGCAATTCTACTTCTTGTTCTCAAATCCACCTTTAAAGGTTTTAAGGAACATTTTAACAGACTTTCAGTGTAAAGTTCAGAAAAGTTTTCAGGATGTTGAATGAGCTTTTGCAGCTTTAAGCCTGAATTTAGTCACACTGTAACTCTTGAAACCCCATACCCTTGAACCCTGCAAGGGTCTAAAAGTCGCATACGCTATAGTAGAGCCAATAATCTGAGTCAAATTCTCCTTGAAACACTGGCTTCCCAGTGTTTGTGCCCTGGAGGAAGCCCAGGAATCAAAGGTGACTTGTGTTCCCAGGGAGAGGGTTAATATTCTAGGCTTGAATGTATAAAATCAAGGTGAATCTTAGTATTCATCTGGAAAAGCATGTCAGTGTGGAAAATCACTCGGTGGCAAATGATCTCTTCCCTAAAAACGTGCTAAAGTCATTTCCAACATAAAGCTGCAACTAAGCAATTATGTAAAGTCATGTGAGAAAGTACCTTAAGCTGGGAATAAAAACATTCGGTAGCACATCATCTGTCTTCAATAAAGACGCATCCTAAATGACTTCCAATATACAACTATGCTAAACAATCTCACAATTTATCTTACAACTTTTCTTTTCTTTTCTTTTCTTTTTGAGCTGGAGACTCACTCTGTCGCCCAGGCTGGAGTGCAGTGGCATGATCTCAGCTCACTGCAACCGCTGCCTCCTGAGTTTAAGCAATTATCCTGCCTTAGCCTCCCGAGTAGCTTGGATTACAGGCACCTGACAACACGCCTGGCTAATTTTTGTATTTTTAGTAGGGATAAGATTTCAGCATGTTGGCCAGGCTGGTCTTGAATGCCTGACCTCGTCTGCCTGCCTCAGCCTACCAAAGTGCTGGGATTACAGGCATGAGCCACCACATGGATTACAGGCCATTAAGAAATGGCCTAACTTTTCCATTTCTTAATGAGCCTCTTCTCACCTTTGATAAGAGAGCACTGAGATCATGAATCAAGTTTGGGATGTTCAATATGGCTAGTGAGCTCCAATTCAAAAGTTTCACATCCATTTTTGCAAGAAAATCAAAGACATGTTAGGTTACATATGAACCTTGTTTTTATTTTTTTGAGATGGAGTTTCGCTTTTGTTGCCCAGGCTGGAGTGCAATGGTGTAATCTCTGCTCACTGCAACCTCTGCCTCCCAGATTCAAGTGATTCTCCTGCCTCAGCCTCCCGAGTAGCTGGGATTACAGGCATACCCAACTAATTTTGTATTTTTAGTAGACTCAAGGTTTCACCATGTTGGTCAGGCTGGTCTCAAACTCCTGACCTCAAGTGATCCACCCATCTCAGCCTCCCAAAGTGCTGGGATTACAGGCATGAGCTACTGCGCCCAGCTGAACCTTGTTCTTAAAAAATTAAAATTTAAATTTAAAAAAGGCCAGGCCGGGTGCAGTGGCTCATGCTTGTAATCCCAGCACTTTGGGAGGCTGAGGCTGGATAAACTTGAGGCCAGAGGTTCAAGACCAGCCTGGCCAGCAAGGTGAAAACCCATCTATACTAAAAACACAAAAAATTAGCCGGGTGTGGTGGTGCACGCCTGTAGTCCCAGCTAAGGCAGGAGAATCGCTTGAACCTGGCAGGCAGAGGTTTCAGTGAGCCAAGATTGCGCCACTGCACTCCAGCCTGAGCTACAGACCAACACTATCTCAAAAACAAACAAACAAACAAAAATAGACCAAATGAAAATATTATTGTCAGAAGATTTCTTAGTTTATGCCCTTAAAAGATTTCCTAACAGCTAATGTTTTTGCCCTGGCATAAAAGTGGTCCAACTCATTCAATGTTGATAGAACTAGAAATCAATAGCTATCTTGTATCTAAAGCACAGCTCAGTGATGGCATTAATTTCTGCCACCAATTCCACTACCCCTTTCTCTCTCTCTCTCTCTCTCTCTCTCTCTCTGAAATGGGGAGGAACAGTCATCAACAGTCTGATCATCCCCTCTGAAACCTGACTACTTAACTACTCAAGGTGGTCAGGAAATTGTTCCTGACTAAGCACTACATAAATAACTTGTAACCTTACTTGTCTGTTGCATGGGCCTTATTTCTCAGCTTGACCATGTGCCCTCCTTTATCGGTCAGGAATTATCCCTCTTATTTCTTTGTCTCTTCCCATGGCACCTGGCACACACACATGATGCTAATTAACACCGCCAACTGCCAGTAGAAATCCCAGCACTTCTGTGTGTAGACTCTGGCTCATTGTTTCAGAGCTCAAGGCTTCCAGCCTTCACGGGATGGTGTCCTCCAGTCTCTGCATGCCCTAGAGATGAGCCGTTCCCTTAAACAAAGCCACTGCTACAGGCCTGGAGGAGTGGCCCCCAGAGGACACTATGAGGATCATTCTTGGGTTGATAGCAAAAGGAACACACAGTTGCTTGGGGGTTCAAACTTAAAATTCTATTCCTACCCTAGCCCTCAGCCCACTAACTGGAGAGAACCAGGGTTCTTACACACAGGTCAGGTTTAGAGAGTCCGTATGCAGCTCGTTCTCTCCTAAAGCCTGAAGTGAAGCCTCCATTTCCTCTCCTTGCCTGAGGTGGTGCCATCTTTACAAATAGCTAATTTGAGACTTTCTCTCTCAAGTAGACTCTCCATAAATTAGCATCGGCCTGATGCAAATGTGGTTAGAAAGGTAAATCACTTCACAGTGTGCTTCACTTTTAGAAAATTCAGCAATCGAAAATTCAATTTGCCTGCAGGAAAAGGCAAAAGGGTAAGCCTGCAGTACCTATATGCACTCCTTGCTTTAGAAAAAGATTAAATTCGGGTCATTTCTTTTCTTTTATTTTTTATACCTCTCTGATGCCTGGGAATGCGGGTCATTTCTTAGAACAAGTAAAATATGATTTCCACATTACCTTTCTGCTTTTGTAACTAGGTAGGCATATATTTCTTATCCAAATATAAACTACATTTGTATTAGATGATTTTCGTAACTGACGTATCTAACGATCTGTGTGTGGCAGGGTCTATTAGTTGCCCCTCAACATCCACTCATTCCTTCTTTAGTAAACATCCCTCTCCCGTCCCTGATTTTTAGCCAGGTGCATAGCTGCATTGAATACAAAGTACATCTTCCAGCCGACTTGTACCCAGGCATGGCCTGGGACTAAGTTGTAGCCAGTGAGATTTAAATGGAAGTGCGGTGTGGCAGTTAGCAGGACACCTCTTCAAAAGACAACTGGCATGTGCACTTAATCTTTTTCTTTCCCTTGTTCTTCCTGCTGATGGGAACATGGAAGTGACGGCTGGAGTGGGCACCTCAAGATAGTCTGTAGGGCTGGGCACAGTGGCTCACACTTGTAATCCCAGCACTTTGGGAGGCTGAGGCAGGCAGATTGTTTGAGGTCAGGAGTTCAAGACTAGCCTGACCAACATGGCGAAACCTCATCTCTACTAAAAATACAAAAAATAGCTGGGTGTGGTGGCACATTCCTGTAGTCCCAGCTACTCGGGAGGCTGAGGCAGAAGAATCGCTGGAAAGGCGGACATTGCAGTGAGCCAAGATCTCACTGCTGCACTCCGGCCTGGGTGACAGAGTGAGATTCTGTCTCAAAAAACAAACAAACAAAAATGATGATCTCTTAAGATGGCAGAGGAGCAGGAAGCCCGTTTCCACCCTGTTAAGCTGCTTTTACATAAAAGTGAATCAAGGCCAAGCACAATGGGTCATGATTGTAGTCCCAGCACTTTGGGAAGCTAAGAAGGGAGGATCACTTGAGCCCAGGAGTTTCAGACCAGCTTGAGCAACATGGTGAAACCCCATCTCTATGGAAAAAAAAAAAATAGCCAGACATGGTGGCATGTGCCTGTAGTCCCAGCTACCTGGAAGGCTGAGATGGTAGGATCTCTTGAACCCAGGAGGTGGAGGTTGCAGTGAGCTGAGATCCCACTACTGCACTCCAGCCTGGGCAACAAAGCAAGACCTATTTCAAAAAAAGGAGAAAAAAGTGAATTATTTTTAAGCTACAACTTACACCTAACCTTAGCCAAACCTGATCCACTAACAGTGGGTGCTAAGCCAACCTAAGGAAGGTTACTGTGTGGAGTATGGAGAGTATGTCCCTAGCAAGTTCTCACTCGGGAGGAATAGCCACACTCCAAATGAAGTCAGGAGTCATACTCACGTCTAAGAGTCAATCTTCTTCCCTGTAACCCTGCAAACTATGTGGGACCTAAGGCACGGTAGCTCTTTAGATCTCCTGTTGTCTGAAAATTAAGCAGTGCATGTGCTTAACAAGAGACTTGTTCGATGGTCCCTGTAGGACCTACCAGTTAGCTCATCCCAGTTTCCGAAGCTTTCTTACACTAGCTCCCTTCCTGGCCCGGCGTCTCCCTCAACACCAAGTCACACCTCTCCTTCTGAGACTCTAAATATGCTGCCCTTCATGTAGGAAAATAAGACATGGCCGGGCGCGGTGGCTCACACCTGTAATCCCAGCACTTTGGGAGGCCAAGGCAGGCAGATCACATGGTCAAGAGATCGAGACCATCCTGGTCAACACGGTGAAACCCCATCTCCACTAAAAATACGAAAATTAGCTGGATGTGGTGGCAAGTGCCTGTAGTCCCAGCTGCTCAGGAGGCTGAGACAGGAGAATTGCTTGAACCCAGGAGGTGGAGGTTGCAGTGAGTCGAGACCACACTTCTGCACTCCAGCCTGGTGATGGAGCAAGACTCCATCTCAAAAAAAAAAAAAAAAAAAAAAGAAAGAAAGAAAAAGAAAATAAGACACTAACTTCATAGTCTTTTCAAGATGTTGGACTAGATCTGGACTGACCTGTTTTGTCTCCCTCAGTCCTACGCCTGACA